TTTGAGAGTAGAAAAGAGCATTTCTGATAGGCCAAGTGGTAGAGAACAAACAATGTTCAGAGCAAGCAGTAGTCAGACAATGGCAAGTGCTTCTAGCTATAGACCACCACGGAGGGACAATAAAGGATTTCGACCTGGTGTGTCTAGTTCAAGTCAATTCAAATCTCGACTCCGAGCAAGTCAGGGTCCTAGATTTAGTCCCAGTACTGTACAATAGCCATTGGCCAGTCTTAATTATACTTATTATTCTTTCCAGAGATCATTTACTCCAAGACAGGGAAGAGAGTTCTAATAGTGCCAGATTTTCTTCTTACCAATTATGTGGAAGATCTCATCCTGGAGAGTGTTTAAAGTTCAAGGGAGTTGGTGTTTGCTATTGCTGTGGCCAAGAAGGACATCTGAAAAGGAATTGCCCAATTGTATTCCAGGAGGGTGGCATGGCAAAGAGGATATTTCCTCAGCAGAGTGCTGGTAGTACAAGACAGAATCAGACTCAGAGAGATGACTCAGCCAACAGAGCGGGTGCAAATAGTGTGGTCCAGTCTAATATCGCAAGCGGTATTGGTACGAAATCAAAAGGGCAAGTAGGATGACCGAAGACCCAGGGAAAAGTTTTTGCTATAACTCAGCAGGCGGCAGAGGAGTCACCAGATGTTATCATGGGTATGTTGTCTATTTTTGATAGAAATGCTCGTATTTTGATTGATCTTGGATCTACACATTTTTTTATGTCATTTGCATTTGCTTTATATACGAATCAAAAGCCAGAACTTTTAGGCAGTTGTTTGGTAGCGAATACACCAGGAGGAGAATCACTATTAGCAAACAATATATATCGAGATTGTAGGATTAAGGTAAAGGAGAACGAGCTCAAGGCAAATTTAATACCTCTTGACATACATGATTTCGATGTTATCTTGGGTATGGACTTTTTGGCAACAAATCGAGCTTCAGTTGATTGTTTTCGAAAGGAGGTTGTGTTTAGACAGCCAGGACAGCCTGAAATTATATTCAATGGACAGCGCAGAATTTTACCATCTTGTGTGATATCTGCTATTGACGCTAGAAGACTACTCAACAAGGGCTGCCATGCATATTTGGCTCATGTAATTGATATAGATGTTAGCAAACTAAAACTTGAAGATATCCCAGTGGTCAAGGATTTTCCTGATGTATTTCCAGAAGAATTACCAGGCTTACCATCAGACAGAGATATGGAGTTCACTATAGATCTGATTCCAGGAACTGCACCTATTTCACGGGCACCCTAGAGAATGGCACCAGTAGAATTGAAAGAGCTAAAGGTTTAGTTGCAAGAGTTGGTAGACAAGGGTTTCATCAGACCTAGTATATCTCCGTGGGGAGCATCAGTTTTGTTTGTGAAAAAGAAAGATGGCACCATGCGACTATGCATAGATTACAGACAACTGAACAAGGTAACAATTCGCAATATATATCCTTTACCACGTATTGATGATCTGTTTGATCAGCTTCGCGGTGCTACAATATTTTCCAAGATTGATTTGTGTTCTGGATATCATCAACTTAAAATCAGGGACAGTGATGTGCCAAAAACTGCTTTTAGGACAAGGTATGGTCATTTTGAATTTCTTGTGATGCTATTTGGGTTTACCAACGCACCAGCAGCATTTATGGATATGATGAATAGAGTGTTTTGCTCATATTTAGATAGATTTGTTATTGTATTCATCGATGATATTTTAGTATACTGTCATAATCATGATGAACACACAGAGCATCTCAGAATTATCTTGCAGACTCTACGAGATGAGCAGTTGTATGCTAAATTCAGTAAATGTGAATTCTGGCTTGATAAAGTTGTGTTTTTGGGACATGTCATATCAACAGAAGGAATTTATGTTGACCTACAGAAAACATAGGCAGTGGCAAAATGGGAAAGGCCTACTAATGTGACAGAAATATGAAGTTTTCTTGGCCTAGCAGGTTATTATCGTCGTTTTGTAAAGGGATTTTCCAAAATTGCTCTTCTTTTGACCAGTTTGACTAGAAAGAATGCTAAATTTGTTTGGAATAAAAATTGTGAGAGAAGTTTCCTCGAATTGAAGAATAGATTAGTGTCAGCTCTAGTTCTTACCCTTCCATCTCCAGGTGAAGAGTTTGTGATATATAGTGATGCTTCACGTCAGGGTCTTGGTTGTGTTTTGATGCAGAATGGGAAAGTTATAGCGTATGCTTCTAGGCAGTTGAAGAAACATGAATTGAATTATCCTACACATGACTTAGAGTTAGCTGTAGTTATCTTATCATTAAGAATTTGGAGACAATATTTGTATGGTGAGAGATGCCAGATATATACAGATCATAAAAGCTTAAAGTATATTTTCGATCAAAAAGTGTTAAACTTGAGGCAAAAAAGATGGTTAGAGCTGACAAAAGATTACGACTGCAAGATTGATTATCATCCAGGGAAGGCTAATGTAGTTGCGGATGCTCTCAGTTGGAAAATATCGAGTCATATAATCCAGACTAATGTAGTATGTTCATCTTTGTTTGGAGGTTCTCATGCTCAATTATCAGTTACCAGTGTAGGAGCATTGTTTGCCAACTTCCAAGTGAGGCCTACTTTGATTGACACAGTTAGAGAAACTCAAACTCAAGATCTAGTGTTGAG